AAATTTACTTAAGTACAGTAACGAAGTAAAGCTACTCCGTTACTGTCCACCACTGGATTTGTTCATATTTTAAACTAGATTTTAGTTTTGTTTCCTACTTTCAATTTAAATTGAATTAAACGTTTAGTAATTTAGTTGTTTATTATTATTATTATTATTATTATTATTATTTTAATAAATATGACTATGACTATATCGTTTTTATTTATTCATTGTAGTTTATTTACTTTTAGTTATGTTTTTATTTATTTATTTAGAAATAGATTTAAAATAATTTATTATATATTTATTTATAAAAAAACATTTATTTTAGTTCTTCTAGTACTTCAAGTTAAAGTAAAAAAAAAACATAGACTTTTTAAAAATGATTTCAGATAACATTTATTTTATTTTATTTTATTTCATGTAATAAAAATGTTTTATGATTTTAGTTTTAGTTTATGATAACAACCCTTCTACAAGCTCCTTGTAATTTAAACTAGTTAAACTCAAACTGCAGTTAACTACTCTACAAGCTACTAATACAAAGTAAGTCATTAATCTAGTCTGTTTAGCAATATCTGTTTAAATGAATAACCTAATCTATCTTTGCATATCTGGTTTTATAATTTTCTACTCCAAACATGAAGATCATCCGAGTGTTTTTCATCATATTTTTTTCAAAATTATTTTAGTTTGTTTAATTTATTCCGTGATAGTTAACAATAACAACACTGGTTGATCAAAAATAAACTTAAATTAAATTTAAACATACCAGACATATCAAACTAAATATTGAAAATAATCAAAGTTGTTTGATGTCATTTAAAAAGGGCTGTTTTTCACTAATGTTAGTGTGTGCTGTGTATGTTTGTGCTTGACAACAAACTCAGTTTGAATCATTTGTGAGTCGAGTAGATTCAAATGAATCTGTGAGTCATTTAGTTTTAAATCAACTGATTTGCTGAAATGAATCTGATGTGATCTGAGGCCACTTTTTGGAAACAATTAACATTACAGGAAGAGTTACAGTAATGCCTGGATGACTGTCAAGTCTGTAGCATCGTTAACTTTAGTTAATTAGTTCGCAACATTGAACCCACTGATGCATTCGATGCTTATTTGCTAAAAGCGTTTCTCTCTCTGTGTCTCGCTCCCGTCGCTGGTTAATGGCTCTTCCCGTTATTGATTTCCCGGGTTAAGTGGATGCGCTAATGAGCCGTGCTGACGAGGTCAGCGTGCTGGGGGTCAAAGGTCAAACCCCCCTAACAGCTTCAAAGAGAGATGAGTGATCATCCATGTGCCAGAAGCTTCAAAGACAGAAAACGGGGGACGACAACATTAATTTCCTTAATGGCGTGACATTTCCGGAAGCGCGGGGTTAAACTCATCATAGTTATATTTCCAGAGGATTCATTAACCTTTGACCCTTCGGATGGTGTGCTGACAATATAAATGATTTATTTATTTATTTGTTTGTTTATTTATTTGTGACTGTGTTTTTATTTTCCCAGGATGCATTGCTGCAGTTGGCCTCCATTGTTGATGTCGACAGCCTTCAGACGACCATCAAAGATGTGCTCAGAGTCGTCCTGCCAGAC